AGGAGACAGGAAAGAACAAGATACTAACACTCCCAACCCCCATTCCATCTGCCTGATCAGCTTGTCTGGGCTCATCCCCAGATGCCTGTGTCTTCAAGCCAAGGCTTTGCTCAAGGACCCACCTTCTATTAACTCCTTGCAGAGGTGGTAACTCAACACCTCCCCGCTCTCTGAGATGGGGACTCTGCTTACTACAGCCTCAAGTCCATCATCTTTCTGCTTCAGCCTCCTGTGCCTTTAGGCATCTGCTACCCACGTCTCTTGATTCCTCAGGGTTTAGAGTCTCTTCCCCCTTCCCCATTCTGTTGTTCTTCGACAGCATTGTATGTGTATGTAATATGATGCTACACATGCACGTAGTAAATTCTAGTCATGTCATCCCAACTTCCCTCTCTTTCATCCCCGTCTCTGCTTGCTGAAACCTTATTTTCCTTCTGGCATTCCCACTGAGGCTATTTAGGGTTTCTTGTATTAGTGTGGGAGAGAAGTTTCTCCTGGAGCATAAGCAACTTATCATGTTTATAGCGCAGAAGACAATGACATCCTAACCCCTTAGTCAATAACTGTGGGAAATTCCTTGGGGAGGATCCCTTCCCATTCATGATGATGAAATGTTGACAGGCCAATCTTGTCCAGGTCTTATGCAGATAACCACAGCAGCAGGGAGTCCATGGGGGCAATGGCTGTGTTGGGTCCACCAGACATTGTTTTGCTCGCTCCTCTTTGTGATGTTCCCTGAGCCTTGGCAGATGTGCCATAGCTGTCCTATTTAGGACCCCACACTCCACTATTGTTTATTTTTGGCCCTTTGGCCAATTTATAGGCTTCTGCACTAACTTCCATGGGGGCTACTTTCTCTTTTCTCCCTCTCCCCTCTCTCCCTCTTCCTCTTCCATCAACCTTCCTCCCTCTTCTCCCTCCATGTAGAGGCCAGAGGCTGATGTGTGTCTTCCTCTGTATTTGTCAACCTTACTATTTAATCTTTAACATTATTTATTATTGTGTGCGTGGATGACAGTTCTCTGAAAGGAGCGGCATCCCCTGCCCCCACTGACCCTTCTGCAGTTAACTGACTAAACTGTCTTTGATGGTGGAGGGAGTGGAATGTTACAAGCCCAGAGTCAAAGGATCTCAGGCCATTTTCAGCCCTCTGAATAGCAATTTATGGCCCTCCTCTGTGGGCGACTATTAGGTAAAGCCTTTGGAATGAACAAATTGATACCTAGCTCCCATCAACCAAAAGGCTAAAGAGCGTCAGACTGGACCTGAGAGTCATGGTAGAAATTCCCCTGCTCTTTTCTAACCTGCTTACCAAATGTCTCCATCAGTGTATCTGTGAGGTGCCTGGATCTGCAACTTTCTTTGTTCTCTTTCCATAAACGCTTCATCTTGGAACATGAACTTGGAGGTAACCTAGGTAACCTAAATCTACGTTCTCAGGCCATTAGCTACTCATATCTGGCTCCAGAAGAAACCATTTCTGACCCCTTTTGTGAGAGAGCTGTGTTTTGGATTGACATTGTATGGTGTGCCTAAATGCTGGTGCTTGCATGCCAGGGAATGTCTCTAGAGGTCAGAGGGCAGCTCTGTGACTCTGGTTCTCTCCTTTGACCTTTATGTGGGCTCTGAGGATAGAATTCAGGCATAAGCTAGCATGCCAAGCCCCTTTACCTGCTGAACCATGTCTCTGGACTAACATTATTATGATGATTAGTATTTGAGACAGGGCCTCTCACTGAATCTGGAGCTTGCTTATTCAGCTACTGACTGGCCAGCAAGCCACAAATACCCCTTGTTTCCCGTTTTCCAGTGCTGGTTTTACAGCTGTGGACGACTCTGCCTGGCTTTTCCATGGGGATCAAACTCAGGTCCTCATGCTTGTTGTGCAAGCATTTACTGACCGAACCATCCCCTCAGCCTCAGGAGGCTTTAGGCTTTCAATTACTCATGGCAATCTGTTTTCAATTATCACTCGATTCAGCTGCAAACAGCTTAGATCGTCCCTACTCTCTCATCTCTCAGGAACAGTCCGTGGTGGCGTAGGCATTAGAGACGAAGGGTAAGGTGTGACTTCAGGCCTCACATGGCAGAAAGAGGCTTTGGTCTGCTCTGAGTGAGAGATCCCAAGGGATCCAGCGGCACTGATATTATGCCCCCCGAATCTTGCCCGTTTTATGCTGTTAGTTTTTTGTTTTTCTTTCACATCAAAAAAAAAAGAAGCCACCTAACTATAGTTATGAAAAATACTCTACTAAAGGAAACAGGCAGAGGCGACTCAGAGTTTGAGTTCCAGTGGTAGAGGAAGTCATGTGTGCCAGAGATTGGGTGTGGCAGACGTGAGCAAGGCTCAACTCATAAGCAAACTCAAATGAGGAAAGGTTCGTGGCAGCTGTTTGGCGGACTCGCTCAAGCCGAGTTTCCCTGAGGCGTTGTTCTGTTCCAGTTCTTTGGGAAGCCTGCACTGTTCTCTCAATCAAACCAATGCTTTCTGCATTAGGGAACAACTGTGAAACTGGACCCAGGTGCAGGCTGCCAAGGAGACTAGACTGCACTGTAGTCTAGTCCAAACAACACCAGCACTCAATCTGCATGCAGACAATGGATGTTTTCTCACTGTGAACCTTTGTTGATATGCTTATATTTTAAAATTATTAGTACGAATTAATACTACTATTATCTCCCTTTCACCATGTCAGTCATATGATCCATTAATTACTGCCTGGAATCGGAACTACCAAAGTTACTCAGGTAGCCATGTGGCAGCGTGTATTAATGATGAAACACACAAGACGTTCTAGAAGCTTAATGGGCCTGGACAAGAAATCAAGGCTTTCAAGAGTTTGCGTCTTATTAGTGGTATTACATAAGCAACTGAGGAAAGAGAAGAGCTGACTAAATTTTGTATCTATTGTCTTTACTTTTTTTTTTCTATGTTTCTGAACTGATGCAGTGATATTTTGTTGCTTCTGCAGTGATATTTTGTTGCTTCTGGATTTATAAATGAAACGTGTGTGTGTGTGTGTGTGTGTGTGTGTGTTGTGTGTGTGTGTGTGTGTGTGTGCTTTTAAATGTACTCCCTAGTTTTCTTGGTTTGGAATCTAATGGGTGGGACAGTTTCATGGTTTTTAAGCACACTATTGATTGAATGCTTCATTGAGGCAGCTGCCAGCTGTAGCCGTCTCTTTCTGCCATGGGCACAGCACCTAATGACCGACACGCTCTGTCTGGAGGAACAGTGCTTAGACTGAGTTTCATTCTTGGACCAAGTCAATCTGAAGACCTTTTTTTGCCTTGAGGTTTGATTCCCCCTACCTCTGAGCCCAGAAGAATTAAGAATTCCGATGTAGAAAGCTTGCAGGGCTTTGCACGGAACAGAGCCTAGAGGGACATGAAACCTGTCAGCTGGTTGGGAATCAGTGCTGGAAGGTGAGAGGAGGGAAAACCTTGGTGCTCTTAATTTCTTTCTTCATTGGTGTTGGGCTTTGACCAGATGAAATTTCCATACCACAGTGCAAAATTCAATTAAATTGTCTTAATTGTCTAGTCAAAGGGGGGCGGGGGAGACAGAGAGAGAGAGAGAGAGAGAGAGAGAGAGAGAGAGAGAGAGATTTGCCAAGAATGGAAAACAGTGCTGCTCTTATTAATTTTCCTTGCTTTGGAAAATAGCTACATTAAATGAAATTAACAGCTTTTTATTTATTTACTCATTTTTCAATGGTGTCTTCTTATACAGACAGCCAAACTGGCCTCAAATTCATGACCCTACCGCTTTAGCTTCCAGAATCCCAGGATTACAGCTACAATAGTGTTTTCATTAAAATAAGTTTTTTATTTGAATATGTAGCAATCACAAACCTATTATTATTTAAATAACAAAACAAATATTTTATTAAAATTTTCCTAATTAAATATTTTGACACCATAATAGTGACGGAGGTAACAGATTTGAGAGAGCTCTTTGGTATCTTCAGAAAGTTTTGAGCATGTATAAGGGTCTCAAGAGTAAGTGATATAGGCAGAAGGAAGAAGAGCGGGAGAGGAAGGAAAGAGGAGGTTCGAGTCCTGTGACCTGTGACTGAGGGATTCAAGCTTGCTGCTATTGTCATGATCCACATAACGAAGACCGTTTCACTCTATGTTAGATGACAGCAAACACACATCATTAATTAGATAATTAATAATGTTACTTATATTATGTAATGCTGATATTATTAAATTACTGCGGCCACTAGATGGATCAGTGGATAAAAATGCTTGTCACCAAGCCTGATGACCTGTGTTCCAGTGTTCTAGCCCTGGATAACACATGATGGAAGGAGAAAAACATCTGAAAACTGTTCTCTGCCCTCTATATATTTACACACACACACACACACACACACACAGAGGCAATATTGTTATTTCTGGGCTTGCACACTGGTGGTTTAAAGAAGTGTTAATGTTACACATCTTGGAGAAGAAGACACCATGAGAAGCTCACCGTTGGGAGAGAAGCCTGACACAGGCTGTGTGACCGCAGTAGAGGGCGTAGGCCAGGGGTGTGGTCTCGTTCATGTCCCTCAGGTTGCTGTCCATGCCCAGCTCCAGGAGTGCCTGGACACATTCTGCTTTTCCGGCAGCTGCAGCCCAGTGCATGGGTGTCCTGGAGGAATAACACAGAAAAAACACAAAGGGTTCAGTCAGAACCTTACAGGCTGGCTAGCCGTGGTTGGCTGACACCAGAGTCAGGCTAAAGGAGGACAGTCCCATTGCTCTCCATAGTATGAAATAGTGTGCATGAATCCGGCGTGAGAGTCTAAGCTGTGTACAAGATGCTTCCCTCCACCTCTGTGCTTTCTGTCTGCTTTGCCATCTCTGCTCTTCCTGAGAATTCCCTAGAAGTGGAAGTCTGAGTGGTTTGAAGGCTCTTTACACACAGTGCCAACTGCCTTCTAGGAACGTTGACTCCATTTACTCTCTTACAGCGGAGACCTCACTCCTTCTTGAACAATGAGTTTATCACCATCTTTAAAATCTTTGTCAACCTGGGGCACAGAACAGACTAAGAGGTGAGTGATCAGTCAGCCAGCTAGACACCTGACTCTCTAGGCCCTTGGTACTGGGGCAAAACCCCGGGGCTCCTCCCCCACCCGCCTCAGCTTCACCAGCCAGTCAGTAGGCAAGCTTCCTGAAGGTAAGGCTGCTCCAATGCCCCTTGTCTCCACCCATTGACTGGACCCTGTAAGCTACAAGGCCCACTCTGCCTCCAAACCCATCTATCCCCCGAGACCTCAGAGGAACTCTGAAGCACAGGCTACAACTGCACAGAGTAGGACCAAGAGACTGAGACTGTGCAGAGCAAACCAAGAGAGCAGGCCAAGGGAGACTTCAGCAGTTTCATGAGACTCAGAGAGCAACCGCACAGAGCAGAATAAGAGCAGCTCCCTAAGACACAGACAGCAACTGCAAGAATTTGACCAAGAGGCAAAGACACTGCCAGCACCAATTGGACGAAGAAGTGGGTAGGCACCAATGCAAAAATTTGTTCAATAACCTAAAAAGCAACATGGTAACACCAGCATCCAGTGGTCATACAACAGAAAGACCTGATCATCTTAATCCAGAAGAAGCAGAGGAAAACAATCTTAAATATAACTTTATGAAGATGATAGAGACCCTTGAAGAGGAAATGAAAAATTTCCTTAAAGAAATGGAGGAAAAGACAAATTGGAAATAACAAATATCTTAAAGAAACTCAAGAAAACCAAGAAAAAACAAACAGGTGAAGCAAGCTGTCCAAATTGTTCAAGACGTGAAAACTGAAAAAGAGGCAATAAAGAAACACAAACTGAGGGAATTCTAGAAATGCAAAATCTGGATAGATGAACAGGAACTACCAATGCAAGCATAACCAGCAGAATACAAGAGATGGAAGACAGAATCTCAAATGTTGAAGATGACTATAGAGGGAATAGGTTTGCTGGTCAAAGAAAATCTTAAATTCAACAAATTCTTAACACAAAATATCCAGGAAATCTGGGACACTATGAAAAGACCAAACCTAAGAAAAACAGGGATAGAAGAAAGAGAACTCCAGCTCAAAAGCACAGAAAATATATTCAACAAATTCATAGAAGAAAACCTTTCCAACCTAAAGAAGGATATGCCTATGGAGGTACAAGAAGCTTATAGAACACCAAATTGATTAAACCAAAAAGAAGTTCTCTTGCCATATAATAATCAAAGCACAAAACATACAGAATAAAGAAAAAATATCGAAGAGCTGTAAAGGAAAAAGGCCAAGTAACATATAAAGGCAGACCTATCAGAATTACACCCAACTTCTCAACATGAATCATGAAAGTCAGAAGGTCCTGGACAGATGTGCTGCAGACACTAAGAGACCATAGATGCAATCCGAGACTAATATATCCACCATTGATGAAGAGAACAAGATATTCCATGACAAAACCAAATTTAAACAATTCCTATTCACAAACCTAGCCTTACAGAAAATACTAGAAGGAAAACTCCAACCCAAGGAAGCTAACTGCACCCCAAAAAACAAGGCAATGGATAACTTCATACCAGCAAACCCCAAAGAAGGGAAACACACAAACACTACCACCAAAAAATAACAGGAATTAACAATCACTTGTTATTAATATCACTTCATATCAAGCCGGGTGGTGGTGGCACATGCCTTTAATCCCAGCACTTGGGAGGCAGAGGTGGGTGGATCTCTGTGAGTTTGATGCCAGCCTGGTCTACAAGAGCTAGTTCCAGGATAGGCTCCAAAGCTACAGAGAAACCCTGTCTCAAAAAAAAAAATCTCTTAATATCAATGGACTCAATTCACCTATAAAAAGGCACATGTTAACAAAATGGATAAAAAAGCAGGACCCAACCTTCTGCTGTATACAAGAAACATACCTCAAAGACAGATATTACTTCAGAGTAAAGGGTTGGTAAAAGGTTTTCCAATCAAATGCCCCCAAGAAACAAGCAAGTGTAGCTATCCTAATCTCTAACAAAATAGACTTCAAACTAAAATCAATCAGAAAAGATGGAGGACAGTTCATACTCATCACAGGAAAAATCCATTAAGATGTCTAAATCCATTAAGATCAGGAAGTCTCAATCCTGAACATTTATGTCCCAAATACAAGCACACCTACATATGTAAAAGAAACATTACCAAAGCTTAAATCACACGTCAAACCCCACGCACCAACAGTAGGAGACTTCAACACTCCACTCGTTCCAACGGACAGGTCAACCAGACAGAAACTTAACAGAGAAATAAGAGAACTAACAGATGTCATGACTCAAATGGACTTAACAGACATATATAGAACATTTCACCCAAACAAGAAAGAATATACCTCCTTCTCAGTACGTCATGGAACCTTCCCTAAAATTGACCACATTCTTGGAAACAAAGCAAACTCAACAGATACAAAAGGTTTAAAGTTAGAATTCAACAAGAACACTAATTGCAGAAAGCCTACAAACTCATGGAAATTGAACAGTGCTCTATTAAATCACCCCTGGGTCAAGGAAGAAATAACAAAATTAAAGACTTCCTAGAATTCAATGAAAATGAAGGCACAGTGTACACAAACCTATGGGACACTATGAAAGCAGTGCTAAGAGGAAAGTTCATAGCCCTAAAGAATGCGGAGGAAGTTCACACTAGTGACTTAACAGCACACCTGAAAGTTCTAGAACAAAAAGAAGCACGCTCACCCAGGAGGAGTAGATGACAGGAAATAATTAAATTGAGGGCTGAAATCAACAAAATAGAAACAAAGTAAACAATACAAAGAATCAATGAAACAAAGAGCTGGTTCTTTGAGAAAATCAACAAGATAGACAAACCCTTATCCAAACTGGATTTGGCATGTAAAATGAGAAAAGATACTTTAAAAAAAAATAAATTAATTAAAAAATCTTTGTCAATTTGGTTGGCAAAATGATACTTTGATATTGCCCTTTGTGTTTCTTTATTTACTATTAAGGTTAAATTTTCCATTTGAATTTTTTTTATTGAAATCACTCTTAATGCCTTTTGTTGCTTTTTTTTAAAGGTAGATTCTCACTGTACAGCATGGACTAGCCTTGAACATACACTCTTTCTGCCTCAGTCTCCCAAGTGGAGGGATTAAGGCATGTGTCACTAGCCTGTGTCTGTTATCTATTTCTCTATGATAGTATTAATGCATTTGAAAGGGCTCTTTGCATACTAAAGATATTGATCATTTATAGGTCATCTATACAAACTTCAAACATTTTGTTCTTCAATCTTTCAATTTTTCTATGTAAAATGGAAAGCATTCACATTCAAATACATTTCATTTTATGTCTTTCATGTTCAGAAAGTCCTTCCTTAACCAGAAGACAGATATTCACTAATACTTAACTATTTGTTAAGACCCAGTGTTTTCTTTCTTTCTTTCTTTCTTTCTTTCTTTCTTTCTTTCTTCTCTCTCTCTCTGTTTCTCTCTCTCTCTCTCTCTCTCTCTCTCTCTCTTCTTTTTTAAGACAGGGATTCTCTGTTTAACCCTGGCTGTCCTGGAACTTGCTCTGTAGAGCAGGTTAGCCTCAAACTCACAGAGATCCGCCTGCCTCTGCTTCCCGAGTGCTGTGATTAAAGGCATGTCCACCCGGCACAACCAGTGTTTTCTTAATAAAATAAAGAGGAGTCGGAAAACAGGTGGAAATACTTGCAAACCACTTGTTCAACAAAAGGTTTATAATTAGAATACATAAAAATTTTCAGTACTGAACAATAAGAAAACAAACTCATTTGGAGAACAGCAAAGGACAGAACTGTCATTCCACCAAAAGAGATGTGTGGATGGTGAGACACATAGGACAAGGTGCCACAGGCTCAAAAATACTTGTCACATCAGTGTGGTGGCACACACCCGAAGTCCTAGTACCCAGGAGGTGAACAATAAGGTTTTCTGGGAGTTTGATTCCAGCCTGGGCTATGCAGTGAATTCCAGGCCAATCTGCCCTACAGAGTGAGACCTTACCTCAGCAAGAACAAAACTGCCCTCAGGGAAATGCAAATCAAAATGGCAAGGAGATCCCATGTGCTTATAAAAATGATTAAAATAAGGCAAACCCCAACAAAGCTTGATAATAATTGATAGTGGCAAAAACGTAGAAGACCTGGAATTTGCCTATGATCTTAGTGGAAGTTTTACAGGGTTCAATAAATCCTGACTATGTGACCCAGATATCCCACTTCCAGATATCTAGGTAGAGAAACGAAAACTTACATCCGCCCAAGAGCCTGCTCTCAAATGTTTATAGCAACCACTCATAACTTCCCCAAATGGAAGCAAGCCACCATCTTTTCAGGGGTCAGTGGATAAACAAATTGTGTGGTTCCTCTATACTGCAGATTATGACTCAACGGCATAACAAACAGGCTAGCAGTGTATGGTAATAGAGATGAACCCCAAGTACATCCTGTTGAGTGACATGAGCCAGTCACAGAGGGTCCCACAGTGACCTTCCCTCTAGGAAATGTCTGACCTCTGAAGTGCTCTGGGCACTGTCATGCTGGATGTCACAAATGGAAGATTCTACATCTGACCCTGTGCACTTGTACTTTAGCCCTGACTGACTGTCGCTTAGCAGAAGATGGGCAGTGATGGCACAAGCCTTTAATCCCAGAATTTGGGAGGCAGAGACAGGTGGATCTCTGTGAGTTCAAAGCCAGCCTGGTCTACAAAGTGAGTTCCAGGACAGGATCCAAAGCTACAGAGAAACCCTGTCTTGAAAGGAAGAAAGAAAGAAAGAGAGAGAGAGAGAGAGAGAGAGAGAGAGAGAAAGGAGGGAAGGAAGGAAGAAAGAAAGGAAGGAATATGGTTTGGCATGGTGCTCACAGCTATAATCTCAGCATCCAGGAAGCTGAGGCAACAGGATCACAAGTTTGGGTCATGTTAGGTTATATAGTCAGTTCATATCTCTAGCTATGTGTTTTTCTAAAAATGGCACATGTTCATCAACATCATTTATTAGTATGACTGTATATTCTTTTCCACTTTTCTTCTGTCCTCTATTTAAAGGCACGGCTGACTTTGTACTAAATCTTAGAGGAGAGGTGTGACAGGGTAAATATATAAATAATGTCTTGCTGCTTCCAAAAGCCAGGCTTGGAACTGGGAGCAGATATGAATTATGACCTCACAGATGGATGAAATGTGGGACATTTGAGACATGGAGGCTGTTTCTGCATTATTTGTGATTTGGCATTACTCTGAGGTGAGTACCGTAATATTTAAAATACCGTAGAGGTATTACATGACTCAGTTTTTACCCTATATTTCTTTTCTGTGTGTGGATGTGTCCGTGCATGCTGGCATACCATGGCACTTGCATGGAGACCAGAGGATAGCTTCATGGGAGTCATTTCCCTCCTTCCATTATATATATATATATATATATATATATATATATATATATATATATATCAGATAGAACTCAGTTCATCTGACTTGTGACAAGTGCCTTTATCTCTTGAGCCATTCTGTTGGCCATTAAAAAAAAGGGGGGGGGGTTTGAGACAGTCTCATTCCATCACACATTCTGTATCCCGTGTTGGCCTCTTACTTGTGAACCTCCTACTTCAGTCTCCTTGGGGCTATGGTTCCAGGGAGCACCACCTTGCCTGCTTTCTGACGTAGGCTAAGAACAGGCAGCCTAGTTCTCCAAACCACTTCCCCCACCGCACAGCTCTCATCACAATCTTATTTCTCTTCTCTTACCACAAAGCCTTTCTTTTGGAAACTCTTTCACTAAGAAAGAAGAAGAAAGAGGAAAAAAGGGCAAGTCGCAGAGATGCCTTTAAGCTTCTGATGATTTTAAACAGCTCAATTATTAACAGAAACTCAGAATTTCACAGAAAAGACAGGGCTTCGTGTTCAGCATGAGAACAGGAAAGGCTTACCCAGTGGTTTGGGGCGGGGAGACTCCTAGAAACTCACCTTCCTTCTCATCAGACCTAGTCTTCTGCATTGATTTTCCTCTCTGGGTTTGTTTTCTTCCCTGAAGCTCAGGAAAATGGATTTTATTTGTTAAAATGTGTAATTCTGCAAAATAGGGAGCTGCTTCTAGCAGCTTTTGGAAGCAGGCAAACTTCCTTCCATCCCTTAACACTACCTTGTGTTCCTTTCTCTGCCTGGATGTTTTACTTCCCGAACCATCTTACTAACATGCCCTTTCCCAGGATCAACACCTGCTCTTAGGAAAAAGTAGCCTTCAGTTTTCATTAAAATTATCAGGTTAAACATCTTCAACTCCTGAGACCTATGTAGAAGATAAGACATCCCCCACCCCCGACATACATATGCTAAAAGAATTTCCAGTATCAGCGGAGGTTCTCTTATGGGATTTCTAAGATTATCATACGCTCAGGTCTTACTTTGACAGAAAATGGAGACTACATACTCAGAAAGTTTGTAGTTCTTACACTTTTCAATAGTGTTGCTTACTGTTGTATTTTTTTCTTGCATTTCCCACACAGTCAGTGCCTAAAGTCAAGGAAGGTTAGTAAGTATGTCGTAGGTGATGAGTGCCCCATTTAAAGACACAGGTGATCCTCCACTGGGTTGCTAACAACCCCTGAGATTTGTCATCATCCCTTTCTGAACCCAGCTTCCATTTCCAGTCAATTTAACAACAATAGCTGGAAAAATTTTTTCATTAGTAAGGTCCATGGTTTTCAAGAAGGAAATACAAACTCCATTAAGAACCAAGGCCCACGTCGGCTCAACAGAAAGCCTCCTGAGATATTCAGCGAAAAGTGGAAAATCTGACAACTCTGTAGTCATGATTTCTGTTCATAACAATGATTTTTCCTCCTCTTACTAAAATAGATCAAGACTTGTTACAAACACATGTATTACCAGTAATAAGGATATAGTCAGAAAGGATAGCGCCCTCGGTGTCTTTATTTTAAGATTAACATTAGGGGAAGATGACTGGTAGTTCCCAGTGCTGTCTGAGTTGCCATGGATACCTGTCATCCACATCCAGAGCCTGCAGGTTACACTCAGGGACTTTTGCCAGATCGTTAATAAGGTCGCCGAAACCCGAAGCTGCTGCGATATGGACACACGTCTTTCCGCTCTCATCATCATAGTTGATAATGGACGGGCCCTTATGGTGACTCAGAAGGATGGAGCACAGGATCCTATTTCCACTCTGAAAAAAAGAGTCAGAGAAATCCCATCATGAACAACCCTGTCCATGTTCCTTCCTATGCATGATGAGGGAGGGCGTGTTTTAAAAGACAGAGGATGGATAAGCAGGAAAAAAAAAAAACAGAACAAGGAAGGAAAAAGCAGGGTGGTCATTTCCTTAGATGATGAGGACTGGGGGACTCATCTTCCCAGTTTATAGCCAGCTTGTCGAGTACTCGTAGACCTGTCCAACCCTTTGACCTTCCGGCATGACTACGTGAAAAAAGTTCATATTCTAGAGCTATATAAATCATTGCCCCAAAAAATTACAAAAAAAAAAAAAACCCTTACAATGTATTAAGTAAGTTTGCAGTTTTGTGATGGGCGAAGCAGCCTCAGAAGGGTGAAAAATTAAAAAGGAGCGAGCGTCATGATCATGTGGTTTGATCTGTGGAGGATTTTGTTATGTGCCTGCCCCCTCTCTCCTGGCTTCTCAGAAGTTCAGCTAACAGCTTAGCTTGGCTTTAGTGAGATGCAGCTTCAGCGTGGCCACTCCGTTTTGACTTTGAGTCTGCTCTGTTGGGGCCACTAGAGAAATCTAATCCCAGACAGTGGCTATCTATAATTTGTATTCCATTTCTTCAACAAATTTCCACCTATCTCAATTCTCTGCCGGGAGTTTTGTTTCCAGTTGGGGTTAATGTCCTCCACACCTAGGGAACCGACAATGGACTTGGTGGCAAACGGCAACCGACGTCAGAGCTAGCCTGACAGATGTGTTGCCTAGACAACAAATTGCTCCCTAGATCTGCTCATTTAACATCTTCATTTCACTGGACAAGGTGGCCGTGAGGGCACTTGTGCACTTAAATTCACTATTAACACGATGAGGAGGAGGAGGGCTGAACTACGACACAAGGTTGCAGACAAAAGCCCTGTTCCTCAGTCTGGCATGGTGAGTTTTAGGCAATCCTTGTGTCGGAGATTCCTAGCATGCCTCCAGATCCTCCCAGGTGCCCAGGATCCATCCTGCAACAGGGGTACACTGAGCTTTTCCTTAGGCCCAGGACAGAGCAGAGGGCAGCAGCAGAGGCTGGGCAGGAGTCGGGCTCCTGACGCAGGAGTTTGGGGGTTGGAATTGTGTGTGCAGGCTCCACTTATAAAACAAACAGAATTTCAAGGTGCTGAGCACAGAACGTTCTATCTCGGGTGTCTCAGGCAGTGGGCTTTCTCCTGGACCTTGGTCTCGTGACTGGAAAATGGACCCTTTCTTTCCACCCCCTCCCCCGGCCTTACACCCTTTCCTCTTTTTTTTCGGCTAGCCTTTGTTCCTCATGGCTTGGATGTGACTCGAGCACGTATTTGTGTGCTGTACCTGTCTGTCCTAAGAAGCCTGCCATACTGAACACGTAGATAAGGGGCTTTCACAGTTTTTTTTTTTTCTAGAGTCATTCATATACAACTCGATGCATTCTGAAGGGTCTGGAATACAGTTGGAAACAGTCGAGAGACACTTTTCTTGGAAAGTACCTGATCCTGGAGAAGGAAAACAGAGAAGAGTGCCAGCTCGGTGGGTTTGTTTTGTTTACAATTTCCTGGAAGAGAAAAGGCCTTCAGGTTGCCAAGGCAAAACACCTCTGTTCAGTTTCCCCTCTTTGTAGAAGAGGGAGCATTAAGGACAAATGGAAAAAACAAAAGGACACACCTCACCTCTCTGCTCCTTCTCCTCGCACGACTCTTGGGACAAGTCACTGGCAGTAGCTGCAGCCCAGGGCACCTGTGTTTGCCTCTTCTGAAACCTGACCGAATAGTCCCATGTGTCGTGGAGGCTGGAGTGCTGTAGGCTAGGCCTCTGAACAAGGATGGGCAAGGTGTCTCCCCTCACTTTACTCTCCTCTCCCAACCTGCCTTTTGTTGCTGTGGGTTCCCCAGATAAGTCCTTTGCCTGCTCCTGGGTCTCCCGTGTAACACTATCATCTGTACTTCCCTTTCCTGTGTGAGTTTTCCTCAGAAATAATGGTGACAGCTGTGCTCATGGAGAGACTGCTTGTTGCTTAGCGCCTTCCTAAACCGCTCCTGACCATAACCCCAGGAGACAGGGAGAGAGGTCAGAGATCAGAGGCCGGAGGGATGGAGGAATTCGCTCTGGGTCAGAGTTAAGAATGAGCTGGGCCAGGATTGACGTTGTAGAGTTTGTAGGCTTGGACCTTTGAGGAAAAGGACCCTGCGTGTTTGCACTGAAAACCGCTGTTCGGACCTGTCACATAAATAGTCATAGGGAACCTTGCCTCTGCAAGGAAGGTGGCCCCGCTGTACCCTACCAGAGACACTGCTTTAGAAGCCAACAGTGGGGGCGATAATCTCTTGGTGACACCCCGCATTCCCCGCTAGCACTCTGGATGGCTCCAGCCAAAGGGAGGCTCAGACAATGGGGGGCTAGGGAGGTCACAGGGGCCAAGAAGAAGTAGGAGAGCAGAAGTAGGAATGCCCAGATGGGGCCAAAGGAGGAAGAGAGAACGGGCCCACATCCAGTGGGAATGCTAGCACACCAGGGGAGCAGCAAGATCACACACAGCCTGTTGCTGAGCTCTCGGCTTCGCAGTGTCACAGATTGTTTGGCTGTATTTACCTGCTTTGTATTGTGGGTCACCACTGTCACGTTGTTGTTTACCTGCTTTGTATTGTGAGTCATCACTGTCACGTTGTTGTTTACCTGCTGTGTATTGTGCGTCACCACTGTCACGTTGTTGTTTACCTGCTTTGTATTGTGAGTCATCACTGTCACGCTGCCTTCACGTCCTCTAAGAACTCTGTGTGCTACTTGTTTTCTCTTTATCCCTCATGAGCAGAGAGCACTGGAGAGGAGCTTGGCTCAGAAGACCGCTTGCCAAAGAGCCAGGTCTCGTCTTGTGTTCTCTCTCTCTCTCTCTCTCTCTCTCTCTCTCTCTCTCTCCCCACCTGTGGATTAGGATGTAAGCTTTTAGCTGCTGCCCCAGCACCGTGTCTGCCTGACCCGCTGTCATGCACCCCTGCCTCCATGATGATCATGATCATGGACTAACTCTCTGAAACTGTAAGCAAGCCTCCAATTAAATGCTGCTTTCTTTTATAAGAATCGCCTTGGCCATGTTGCTTCCTCACAGCCATAGAAAGGTAACTAAGACAGTGTCCCTTCAAAGAGGTTCATCGGGAGGCTGTGGGACCAGTTGGTTATCAGCATAGGGCTGGGGAACAAGAGTGTTTATTCTTCATTAGCAACTTGACTGGACTAGAATCATCAAATCGTCTTAGGAAGACATCTCTGGGTGCGTCTGCGAAGACGGTAGGCTTGCCGTGGACGTGAGCAGCACCACGCTATGGGTGGAGTCCTGGAGTGTATATTTTTATAGGGTAGAGGGAGCTGAGTACCAGCGTTCGTTTCTGCTTCCTGACTGCAGGTGCCATGTGACCAGCTGCCTTCGAGGCTTCCTCCCACCATGTACTGCATCCCCTCAAACGCCAAGCCAGAAGTGACGTTGCCTTCATCACAGCAACTAGGATAATTACTAACGCAAAAGAAGTTGCACAGTGCCTTCCTTTGACAGGAAAGGGTTATTCTCCCTACCTTGAATGAGGGGATGTAAGCATAATTCATCATGTGTTAGAGCGAGTACAAAGCAGCGGCTTCCCAGCTAGCGTCTATGCTCCAGTCACGGCACCCTGAAGGCCTGAGGGCTTTTATGACGTGCTGCAGCCAGATGAAGTAGATTGGAATGGAGATAGCGAGTCTGAAGAGTGAGCGGTCAAGAACGGGCTCCGCACTAACTAGAGGGAGGAAAAGGATACTCGCAATATCTCTGAAGTGTTAGAATCTGAGCTATTCTCAGCAAGTCTTTCGAGGGCCAGAGTGCTAGCTATTGCAATAAGATAGGAGAGTGGAGGGAAAATAGGAGGACTGGGAAGGAAGAGCTGGAACGACTTTTTGCATCTCATGTGGTTGTCTAAGTAGAATATTTGAAAAGACAGATGAAACTCAAGGCCCTGAAATTAAGAAACAACTGTAACAAGTTTTCAGAATATAAGACACATATTTTACAATAGACAAAACTATTTTTCTATGTATTGGCAATGAACAAAGAGAATTTGGAAACGAGAAACTATTGTTTTGGATGTGGCTTGTCTCTGATAAAACTCATTCTGAAATTTAACTTCCAAAATAATGTCATTTGTGTTTATATGTGTGAGAGAGGGGGAGGGAGAGATAGAGACAGACAGACAGATGGATGGACAGATAAAGGATAGTGTATGCCTGTATATGTGTACTGGTGCACGTCCATATGTGTGCATATGGGGGGGCTGGAGGCTGCTGTTGAGTGCCTTTCCCTGTCACTCTCTACCCTGTTTTCTGGGACAGGGTCTGTCCTTGAACATGGAGCTCACCAATCCAGGAAGACTACTTGGTTGATCAGTGAGCCCCAGGCGTCCTCCTGGCTCTGCCTCCCCAGCACTGGGATTACAGGTTACAATGATTCCAGGATTATCATCGTGCCAGGCTTTTTATGTGGGTGTCAGGCACCCGATTCCAACTCAGGTCCACAGGCTTGCACAGCAATCATCTCGCCAGCTGAGCCATCTCTCCAGCCCTCCACCTCCAATGTAATAATAGTATTGATCAGTGGGCCACATAAGAGGTAATCAGGGGGGTTATCACTCTGTGCTGGCCTGTAGAGGGAGATGAGGCAGAGATACCTGACAAGCTAGTGTCATCACAGGGAGGTGAGAGCATGGCCTAGCGGGTCTGGAATGACACTAAGATTATCACAAACAGCAAGTGACATGCTTCTATTAGCCCAACTATAGCCAAACAGTGATGCTTCTGTTAGCCCAGCTATGGCCAAACAGTGGTGTCTTCTAGACAGATAGGAGAATAGGAAAGAGGGCATGGCCATTGTAGTCTATCTCTAGCTAATAAAGGACCTTGAAGAAGTTGAAGTTAGTTTCTGGGCCCGATGTTTCAAATCTTTACTGCTTTGGTTGTTTGGGTCAAATACAAAGGCTTAATTATTTCCAAGTGCCATAGCCTTATATGTGATCTCATTGTACAGTCCAAGAGAAAGGCAGGAAGTTGAGCAAAGGAATAAATGCCGAGGGGAAGCAGACTCATTCATGTGGAAACACTATGACGAGCATGCAGCGCTGGACCTGTGCAACAAGAGGCAACTGCAGCGGACCAGTGAGGTTGTGATTTCCCGGTACTCCTGCAAAGGGCAGAAGACACAGCCTGGGACTTCGACTACCAACACTAGCCACGTGGAAGGGAGAGAGACCACAGGTCCTCAGAGCCAAGATTCCTTACACGTCGATGCAGTTACCAACTGTCATGGGGTGATGAAGACAGCTTTGCTCAGAAAAGCGGATGCAAGAGCCCAGCACCTGCACATAGATATAGGCCAGCACCGTAGGGTACCAACAGGAACCTTTCTGTTGTTCACTTTACTTCCAGGGCCAGAGCCAGATATACAGCAGGTGTTCCAGAAGGTTTATTGAGTAGTGATGGAGCAAATACAGGAGGCATTTCACTCATGTGTCTAACTGTGGTGAAAAGGCAACATTGAAGATATTGGCCACCATTAACTGGAGTTCCTCTCTAACAACAGCTCTTAGTCCTAATAGTACATTTTAATTTCCTGGGAGAAGGAAGGAGGTTTAAAAGTCTCCATGCCCGGCTCCACCTTAGAACAACTGAAGGAGAACTCTAAGTGGGGCCTAAGCATCCACATACTTAAAAGGTCTTTAGGTGAGTCTTGGGAGCATGGTAGGCTGGGAGCAATATCATTTACAGCATGGTCGCTTAGACTCTAAATTTTAGAGAGAAGAATACTCAGTTCATCAACCCAGTCTCTACGAAGGTCAGAGAATTTAACAAAGTGACTTGTCTCTTCCAGTTCTGTCACATCCTCTAGCTGCCATAGGCACGGTTCCATTCATACCCTCCCTCTCCCGATATATTTGGAGCTAAGATACGCAGATGTGTATGACTCTCCTTAGGTCAAATCTAGGGCTGTCATGGAAATTCAGTGTGTGTTGTCGCTCTGGTTTAGCCAAACTGCCACCTACAGGATAAGGACAGAGACTCAGAAGGTCTGGGTGCAGGGAGCTCAGGAGTCTGCATTTGGGGCAAGGCCTGCTGGGGATTCATTCTACTACAAGGGCTAATTTAGGACTCGACTGTGGCTGGGATGGAGGAAGAGGGACCAGATGATGCAGGTCCATCAGAATTACTGCAGGGGCGGAGGGGGAGCGTTCAGAGGACAGTAGCCGAGAAGGAGGAGTCAGAGTGCGAGGGTATTGAGGGGGAATCTGTAGAAATGCTTAATTCAGATACCATTTCCACCTGAGCTGAGAAGCAACACGCTCAGGGCATTGCTCGGGTGCTGAACCAGATTCTTTGGGATCATTGCTACTGTGGTCCCTAACTGGACAGAGTCAATTTTCTAAGTGCCCTCAACAGAGCCAGCAGGGAGGGGGTGGGACATCTGATCAGATAACAAAAGTGCCTGAGAGGATGCCACGGCAGGTGGAGAAGACAAAAACAAGTCTGGTTCACTTTGTCATCCTGCCCAGGACCCGGTCCGATGCCCTGCAACCGAAGCCAAGTTTAGAGACACAAAAACAGAGCAGTTTCCGAATTGCTTCTGTTTTCCCCTGATCATAGGCACACCTGTGAGTCCCGAAAGTCCCAGGTGCTACCTCTGCCCTAGGAAAACCCTGAGTGAAACCAGGGTTGG